CTCGCGGTCATCTTTTAGCACTGGTCGAGGGCTTTGAGTCTGACCAACAGTTTTTCCATACGGCCTAGTCATCTATAGAAGTGTATGCAAAACATTAGCATGATGAACAGAGGATAAGTAACGTAAAAATTGTGTTGAAATTACACTGTTTTTCCCATAAAATACAAAGATTATATAGGGAAATACGACTGGTCAGTTTTGACCCCTTTACGAAGTTTTCACAGATATGCCGAGTTTTTTGTGACACCCCAAGGTGTTCTCCTACCACCTCACAAAATATCAAGAGGGGTCGTCGGAGGAAATTTTTTTTCGTAATAGAGCTCATATAAATAGAATTTCACTCGCGGTCACTTTTTAGCCCTCGTCGAGGGCTTTGAGTGAAACCGACAGTTTTCCCTAAAGGTCAAGCCATTGACCTAAGTGTATGCAAAAAATTAGCCAGATATACTGAGTTTAAGTACCATAAAGTCTGCGTTGAAATGACCCTCTGTTTTTCCCATAAAATACAAAGATTATATAGGGAAATACAACTGGTCAGTTTTGACCCCTTTACGAAGTTTTCCCAGATATGCCGAGTTTTTTTTGACACCCCCAGGCGTTCTCCTACCACCTCACAAAATATCAAGGGGGGTCGTCGGAGGAAATTTTTTTTCGTAATATAGCTCATATAAAGAGAATTTCACTCGCGGTCACTTTTTAGCCCTCGTCGAGGGCTATGAGTGAAACCGACATGTCTGCCCTACGGCCAAGCCATTTACCTATAAGCATGCCAAAACTTAGCCAGATGTAAAGAAGGTAAGTGCCCTAAAATCCGTTTTGAAATGACCCTCTGTTTTCCCCATAAAATACAAAGATTATATAGGGAAATACAACTGGTCAGTTTTGACCCCTTTACGAAGTTTTCCCAGATATGCCGAGTTTTTTGTGACACCCCAAGGCATTCTCCTACCACTTCACAAAATTTCAAGGGGGGTCGTCGTCGAAAAATTTTTTTCGTAATAGAGCTCATATAAAGAGAATTTCACTCGCGGTCACGTTTTAGCCCTCGTCGAGGGCTTTGAGTGAAACTGACAGGTCAGCCGTACGGCCAAGCCATTTACCTATAAACATGCCGAAAATTAGCGAGATGTAAAGAGGGTAAGTGCCCTAAAATTCGTTTTGAAATGACCCTCTGTTTTTCCCATAAAATACAAAGATTATATAGGGAAATACGACTGGTCAGTTTTGACCCACTTCCCGATTTTTCCGAGATATGCCGAGTTTTTTGTGACACCCCTAGGCGTTCTCCTACCACCTCACAAAATTTCAAGGGGGGTCGTCTGAGGAAATTTTTTTTCGTAATAGAGCTCATATAAAGAGAATTTCACTCGCGGTCACCTTTTAGCCCTCGTCGAGGGCTTTTATTCAAACCGACATGTCTGCCCTACGGCCAAGCCATTTACCTATAAGCATGCCAAAACTTAGCCAGATGTAAATAAGGTAAGTGCCCTAAAATCCGTTTTGAAATGACCCTCTGTTTTCCCCATAAAATACAAAGATTATATAGGGAAATACGACTGGTCAGTTTTGACCCACTTCCCGATTTTTCCGAGATATGCCGAGTTTTTTTTGACACTCCTAGGCGTTCTCCTACCACCTCACAAAATTTCAAGGGGGGTCGTCGGAGGAAATTTTTTTTCGTAATATAGCTCATATAAAGAGAATTTCACTCGCGGTCACGTTTTAGCGTTCGTCGAGGGCTTTGAGTGAAACTGACAGGTCAGCCGTACGGCCACGCCATTTACCTATAAACATGCCGAAAATTAGCCAGATGTAAAGAGGGTAAATGCCATAAAATCCGTTTTGAAATGACCCTCTGTTTTTCCCATAAAATACAAAGATTATATAGGGAAATACGACTGGTCAGTTTTGACCCACTTCCCGATTTTTCCGAGATATGCCGAGTTTTTTGTGACACCCCTAGTCGTTCTCCTACCACCTCACAAAATTTCAAGGGGGTTCGTCGGAGGATTTTTTTTTTCGTAATATAGCCCATATAAGGCGCCGGTCAGTCGAGGTCAGTTTTGACCCCCTCTCCGTAAACTTTTCGGCCAACCGTCACCGGCCCTCGTGTTCTATCGACCCAAGGCACCATCGTGCCAAATTTGACGCGCCTGCGGCGCCGGGAAGTGCCCTATCGGGCACTTGACCACTTTGCTTTATATATATAGACTAGGCATGCTGCCCAGCTTCGCTTAGGCTTTCGAAAACATTGAGAATTTGAATGCTTAATTAATTCGCCCGAAGGTCGGTCTACGACCTCAAGAGTTATGAAGAGGTTCCTCCGTGGACATTTTTTTTCGATTTATAGCTCATATAAGGTACCGGTCAGTCGAGGTCAGTTTTGACCCCCACATCGTAGACTTTTCGGCCAACCGGCCCCCGTGTTCTGTCGCACCAAGGCAAGATCATGCCAAATTTGAAGCGCCTGCGGCGCCGGGAAGTGCCCTATCGGACACCCGACAATCTAGATCTAGATCTAGATTCCTAAAAGAATTTTTTTTTTTAAGTTTAGCCCGAGCATAATAAAAAAGAATACATTAACCAAGTTGACTTGCTGTGTCTCGAACCCGCACCACCTGCGTGGTTTAATGTACACTAACATCTCCGCTATTTAGGCACCTTATAAAATACGGAGAATGAAACACGTATTTTAAAATCTTAACTTACGCGAATATGCCTATTCTTTCAAATTAATTTTTTATCCCAAATTAGCCAGTTCCAAACAAAGATTTTGTATAAAATAAATAAGTCTTGAAATAGTTTAGTCCTAATATAGAAATTTATTTTTGGAATTGATTTTAGAGAAGTTAGAGTCTAAATCTAGATCTTAGCGTCTACGTCTAGATCTAGTTATTGCGTAGATTTAGATTTAGTCTAGATCTAGAATCTCTAGATCTAGAATCCAAATACATAAAATAAATTTTATGAGTTTAGGCCGGAAAAATTGTATTGTATACATTTCATAGTGTACGTAGATCTAAATCAAATTTGAATGAAATAGTTCATTTCTTTTCATTCTTAACACGGCAGATGACGTCATTAGTTAATGTATAAGCAATAGTGACGTCACAGTTTTATGCGTTCTTTTTCACATATATTAATGCTTTTCCGGTTGCATAAATAATACTGTTTCTCTACATTCGAATACGCCTTTAATTTTTATTTTTCTTCTTTAAGTAAAATTGTGGTTATACATTTAAAACATCTAACATATTATTTTCAACAAAAGTCCGTAAAAAGTTCTCCATATACCGCTGCCGATTCTGACGTGATGTCCGGCGATAATTTTTTGCGGACAGAGAAAGAGAGAGAGAGAGAGAAGAGCGCACATGGCCTTTTATAATATATATAGATTAGAGTCTCAACGACATAATCAAATGAGAAAAAATCTCTAGCGTTATTATATACCGACACTGTTGATAAGCCACTCAACGACAGTGTCGTTGAGAATAGTGTATGATCGGCTGAACAACGCTACAATAATTGGATAATTTTACAGATTAAAAGTTTTCTAAACTATATAAAGTAAAAGTTATCTTATTTAAAGCTTTACGATTTGTAAAAAGGGAAGACTAATAAGTAAAATTTGCAAGAAATTATAAATCATAACTTATTCCGTCTTGCAGAAACATTTTAAATAAAAAATGAACAACATTTTGCATATTATTTTTCAATTACTGTTAATATAATGTTTAATTATATTTCGAAACCAAATGGATGTATTAGCTCCCTTGATATGTTTAAATAATAAAAATGGGAAATAACAGTTACAAGTAACAATAATTGCGTAAATGCATTCATATTGGAGAATAGTGTGATGGTGCAAGTCAAATGCGTCGCAAGGCAGAAATGTGCTTTTCCCCAGCTCAGTGATTGATTAATTAAAGTTAAAAAATTGACGATCTCGTAAAGGGAGGGATGGGGGTGGTGAAACTATTGCAAACTTGCTAACTATATAGACAACAATGATACATCCAACTGAATAATTTACAGAGGAAGAAAAGTTTAGTGGAATATTTTCAATACAAGTAAATCATTGACCAGGGTGGTGTGACACAATGTCTAATTTACTTTTTTTCCACTTGAATTATATGTAGTTTAAGAAAAATATTTAACAATCGACGCTTTTTTTAATAGGAGAAATTGTGTGTTGGGGGATAATTAATAATAGTACCAATTGCATTTACATATATATGTATAAATAAATATATATATCTGTATATATTCAATTGTAACGTTAAACTGTTAAGATGTGGATTATTACATTAGACACATGTTTGACAATTCGCAGCCCCCTTCTTTTGATAAAACAAGTGATGAGTTGATGATACAATTGTCAACAAAGTATGTCTACTGAATATAGTCTGTTATTTTTTAAATTTAATTTCTCATGGTATATGGCGTTGCATAGCCACATTATTTCAACTCAGGAAACTAGCGTTTCATCAAGTTTTACTTTTTATTTATTTTATCATTTTAACTCCAAAATCAAACAACTTCTTCCTTGTAGTTTGTTCTTGGTTGGACAAAACCTATGGAAGTAAATACAAAACAAAAGCAGTCTGAAATCAGAGTCAATGGCTTCAATAGTGCATAACCAGTTGACACATATACTTAATTGTGTAGGAGGAAATCTCTTCCAACACCCACATTAAGAACGAAGAAGAAGAAGACGAAGTTTATCATAGCTCTCATCACTCACACACCTCATTACTTTCTAATTCAATAGCGGCTTTATTTTTCTTACTACTTCAACATAATATTATTATTATAATATTATTATTATTAATGTTGTCTGACACTGACCTTCACCTACCTGGTATGTTCAGACTTTGTAACATCACAAGAGAGTAAAACATACCAGTGTATTCAAAACACATTGGCCTTATTGGAATTTACATACAGAAAGTGTTGCCAGAAAAACAATAACAATAAAAATTGACTTATACTTTAGCCATTTTATTTCTCAAAATTTTCATGTTACAATTTCTAATGATTCACATTAGAATGTACATTACACGGTTTGTTTTTTTTATAGTAAGGAATATAAAATTAAATAAAAACTAGCCAAAAATTACATTATGATGAAACTAAGATACCAAAATGTAACAATTGCAGCTTTAGTCTTTCTTTTCTTCAAATTTATAATTTGTATTCTGTTTTTGTAAAAAAAAAAATGTTAATTTATGACATTGAAATGTATGGTTAATCTTAAAATTCTATAGCCTATATGAATATGTGAAGAAAATTATTTTATGCTCTTTTCAATCACATAGCATGCAGAGAGGAGTCTGAGATTTGGCATAACGTTTATACTGAGAACATGTTACAAATACATTTAAATAATAATAAAAAAAAAACCTTCATCTATTATACATATTTACCAATAACACAAAAAGAAGTAGGATACATAGAGAAAAAAAATGTACACATGCAGCTGACATAATAGAATAAATTTCTTTTTTACAGAATGTATAATAATTGTCGAGGTATACTTTTTGACAAAAGAATCTTTTCATAATACAAATATAAAAATGTATTAACTATGACCCACAATTGGTTAACCACTAGTTAAAGTTATGTGCAAAGAAAAAATTATAAGAAATTTAATAATAATAATTTGCTATAGATATTGATTGTTTATGCTAATAAACCGGGAGTGATCTCCCCTAACTTTCTCGAATATTCTTATATAAAACAACAGGGGATGGGAACACGGGATATAGTTATGATTTTACTTTCTCGTATATACGAAGTATAGAGAAAGTCTTGTAATCGTGCAAAAAAAAATCGAGATTGTAAAAATCTCGACGTTTTACACCTCACTGATACGGAAAAACATAGTTTTGCAATCTTGTCCGTATGTCTGTGTGTAAACACGATAACTTGAGTACCGTTACAGCTAGGTTTATGAAATTTCATATATACGTATTTTATAAAAATCGAAGATCCTGATCAACTTTTGAGTGATTTACGATAAACGGAAGTGGTACTTTTTCTACTTTGAACTTTTCAAAAGCCTATAACTTGAGTACTATTTCAGATAGATAAATGAAATTTCACATGTATGTAAAAGATCTAATTCAAATTTTGAGTTATTTCCGTTGACCAGAAGTACTAATTTACGCTATTTCCAATTTCTCAAAAAAGGTATATAAATTTATAAAGTACTAATAATATCCCGCACTATTATGCAAATTTTATTAGGCATTCACTTGGTGTGCAATTCTTTGTTTTTACGAGATTCTATTCTATTATAAAAAGTTTAAGTAATTAAAAATGGATTACAAATAGGCCAATTGTCTATGTCCTGAGTTGCCATCCCTCGTAGTTTTATATTAGAATATTCGAGAAAGTTTATTTAATCCATTTTAAATACTTAAACTTTTAAAAATAGAATAAAATCTCATAGGAAAAAGAATTGCGCACCAAGCAAACGCCGAATGAAGATGTTTATAATAGTGCACAATATTATTAGTACTGTATAATTTACATGCGTTTTTTAGTACTTCCGGTAAACAGAAATTTCTCAAAATTTGACTGAAAGTAGAGATATAGATCTTTTACTTACATGTGAAACTTCATTTATCTATCTGAAATAGTACTCAAGTTATAGGCTTTTGAAAAATTCAAAATAGAATAAGTACCACTTCCGGTTATCGGAAATGGCTTAAAAGTTGATATCGATCTACGTTTTTGATTAAATACTTATATTTAAAATATCATTAACCTAGCTGTAACGGTACTCAAGTTATAGTGGTTACACACAAACACACAGACAAGATTGCAAAATTATGTTTTTCCGTATCAGTGAGGTGTAAAATGTTGAGATTTGTAAAAATCTGGATTTTTTTTTTGCACGATTACAAGACTTTATATTTCATATATACGAGAAAGTAAAAAAATGACATTAAATTGGTTTTAAGTCCTGATGAATTTCTTTGGCAATATAAAGTAACTTTAATAGAAAACATTTCCTTACCAACATCCCATTCCTCTGTCTTACATATAGAATGAATTTTTTTAGAGTATTTAAATTAGATATTTGAGAAAATCTTTTGTGAAAAACATCATTTAGACTACGACTTCTAGAAAATCTTTAATGACAAATACCACATTCATGTAGCTTGTCTCCTGAATGAACTTTTTCATGTGCACTTAAATAAGAATGTTGCGAAAAAATTTTATGGGAAAAAAAGTTTATGTTTAGCTAAATAACTATTCTGAGTAATTTATATGAATTTTTTTCTCAAATCTACAAAATTATGTCTTAATCAATCACACTTCCAAGCAAACCTTATAGGACAAACATCACATCCATCATGATTCATGTGGCCTTTCATCTGAATGAATCTTTTTATGTCTTCTTAAAACAGAACTTCGAGAAAACTTTTTATGACAAACATCACATTCATATGGCTTATCTCCTGAATGAACTTTTTTATGTTCTCTTAAATGAGAACTTTGAGAAAACCTTTTATGACAAACATCACATTCATATGGCTTATCTCCTGAATGAACTTTTTTATGTTCTCTTAAATGAGAACTTTGAGAAAACCTTTTATGACAAACATCACATTCATATGGCTTATCTCCTGAATGAATCTTTTTATGTTCACTTAAGCTAAAATTTTGAGAAAACCTTTTATGACAAACATCACATTCAAATGGCTTATCTCCAGAACAAACTTTTTTATGTTCTCTAAAATTAGAACTTTGAGAAAACCTTTTATGGCAAAAATCACATTTATGTGGTTGATCTCCTGAATGAACGTTTTCATGTCGTAATAGATGATTCTTTTGCACAAAGTTTTTATGACAAACATCACATTCATGTGCCCTTACTCCTGAATGAATCTTTTTATGTGTTCTTAAATTAAAACTTCGAGAAAACTTTTTATGACAAACATCACATTCATGTGCCCTTACTCCTGAATGAATCTTTTTATGTGTTCTTAAAACAGAACTTCGAGAAAACTTTTTATGACAAACATCACATTCATATGGCTTATCTCCAGAATGAACAATTTTATGTTCTCTTAAATGAGAACTTTTAGAAAACCTTTTATGACAAACATCACATTCAAATGGCTTATCTCCTGAATGAACTTTTTTATGTTCTCTTAAATGAGCACTTTGAGAAAACTTTTTATGACAAACATCACATTCATGTGGCTTATCTCCTGAATGAACTTTTTTATGTTCTCTTAAATGAGAACTTTGAGAAAACCTTTTATGACAAACATCACATTCATGTGGTTTATCACCTGAATGAATCTTTTTATGTGTTCTTAAATTAAAACTTCGAGAAAACTTTTTATGACAAACATCACATTCATGTGATTTATCTCCTGAATGAACTTTTTTATGTCGTAATAGCTCATTCTTATCTGCAAAGTTTTTATGACAAACGTCACAATCATATGGCTTATCCCCTAAATGAATCTTTTTATGTTTACTTAAGTTAGAACTTTGAGAAAACCTTTTAAGACAAACCTCACACTCATATGGCTTATCTTCTGAATGAACATTTTTATGCATATTACTTTTAGAACTTTGAGAAAACTTTTGATGATAATAAACAATCTTATTTTCATTGTCTCTAGACAATTGTAGATTTTCTTCAAGTCCGTTTTCTTGTTTATTCTCAAAAAATAAACATTCTGTTGTGAAATCTTGTTTTAAATTTTCAGTAGCTGATAATTCTGGTTTTAAATTTTCAGATGTTGAAAAATCTGCTAATAATTCTGTTGTGAAATCTTGTTTTAAATTTTCAGTAGCTGATAATTCTGGTTTTAAATTTTCAGATGTTGAAAATTCTGCTAATAATTCTGTTGTGAAATCTTGTTTTAAATTTTCAGTAGCTGATAATTCTGGTTTTAAATTTTCAGATGTTAAAAATTCTGCTAATGCAGCAGGTTTCTTATTAATTTTTTCAATTGAAAATGTAATATCAGGTTTAACATCTTGAGAAGTTTTAAATGACATGTTAGGTTGTATATCCTGGAAATTAAAAAATGGTAAATCTGGTTTTATGTCATTAGAAGAAGAAAATTCTGAATTAACATTAGGTTCAACATCTTGAGAAGTTTTAAATGTCATGTCCGGTTTTATATTCTGAAAATTAAGAAATGACAATAATTCTGTTTTGATGCCAGCAGAAGATGGTTTCAAATCTTCAGAAGATGAAAACTCTGTTAATTCATTTGACTGTATATCTAGAGTAGATGAAACTGCAGCTAACACATCTGTTTCCACCTCCATGCTGGACAGCTTCTTAGATATGAACTGATGATTAAAAAAATGTAAATGTTAAACTGGTGATTAAATAGCCAAAACAACATTTTATTAATAACATGACACAATTTGTAACACATGCCAGACTTTTGTCAGTCTGATTCTAATGATTACTTAGGCAGATGTAATTTTAAAATAGACAACCAGTAATGCAAAGCCATCAGGACTGCAGATTAATATCTTAAGCTACCAGTTTCTTAAAATTATTTTTAAAAATAGGAATACTAGGATATTAATAATAACAAAAATCTAAACTTGATTTGCTTTTGTTAGTTTTTAAATGTAAGTAATGTGTGATTAATCTTATCCAAATATGTATTAAAAGTTTGAAAATTAATTTTAATTTCAGTTCTAAACTGTCATAAACAGCTTAATAAACACTTGCTTTCTTCAGGTAGCTTGGCACTAAATTCCACTTAATGTTTTTTAGTTTTGTGACAATATTTGTATATAATAGGACTTGTAAGTTCTTGTTCTCTCCCACTTAAGTTCAAGTCCTGTTAGCCGGGAAGAGATAAAAAAAATTGGAACTAAGTCAATTGTTGTGAATGGGATTACTGCTGCTCTAATCAACTGGCTTAGCTTTTTTAAACTAAGGAAAGAACACAACACTAATGGTGTCATCTTCCAGTTTTAGAATACAAAGAAATGAACTATTTCATTCAAATTTGATATAGATCTAGATTCTATTAATTTACTTATCAAGACCTGCACTATGAATTGTATACTAATAGAGAGGTTGCACACACGTGTTTACATCAGCAGCCATGATGATGCCCTAGCCTAGCACTGGTCTTCTCTATGTATTTCATAGTGCTAGTCTTAAGTTTATTTAAAAAACCTGCAACCAGCAGAACAACAACAATATTTAAAGAAATTTAAATTATTCAGGAAACTTTTTTTTTGCTTTTTGTCCAGCTGATAGACAATATGAATATAATAAATAACTGAACAAAATGTAAACATCTATCGGAATCTATCCAATCAAAAGTGAAAGCCACAACTCCAGAGAGTCAGACTCAAGAATACCCAAGATTCTAGAATTTAGATTTAGCTGTAAGCTAGATCATTTTAAATACACAAAAATGCACTTAACTTGATTTTACAGATGGACTTGTGATTATTTATGAAGTCATAGCAAGACTAGGGCTAGTAGTTGTGGCCAAAGTAAGATCATTCTTTATTTTTTAGATCCAGTAATATTTAGTTAGTTAGCATATTAAATTTCTTATATTATATTCTAGTGCCCACTACTACACTTGTAAGCTGTCACACTGTTAAAGTGTTAGATAATCAGTGGATAGATCAAGATGATTAACTCAAGTCACACTACATTAACTATGAAACACCATTTACTTGATGAACACTGTTTAAAATTTTAAAGCATAACTTAAGATCACACAATTGTCCTCTAAATTTACTGGAATCCTAGACTAATACTATAAAATAATGTTAGCACTTATATTTGCTACTCAAAATATTTAGACTACATACTACTATATTTAATAATGGGCCTAAATATGTTTTTAAATTATTCATACCCACTTGACTTACAGCAGACATCAATAATTTTAATTGGTTGAATTATATTTATAATTATATTATAATTTTAGCCACAGCAGGTTAATTAGTACGCCTACTTGATTTATTTTGCAGGTCTGGGTATTCACTGAAAGCATTATAAAAGCCTGTTGTACCATGGATTTTGAGTGACCAAGGTGGACTCATTATTGCCACCTGCTACAATTGTATGGATGGATATGCACAACTTTTTCTAATGTAAAAGTAAAATTAAAAAAAAAAAGAATTAATGAATTGATTTTATTTGTTTTATATTTAAAAATTTACAAACTGAACCTTTAAAAAGTTGAATTGCAACAATAGAAGAAGCATATCTGAATGAACTAAAAAAAATAACACTTTGTGTAGGTCAGTGCATTTTTAAATTCAAAAAAATGTTCATGTTGACAGCTAATATCCAATGGGTATGTGTTGAGGGTCTGATTACTGCAGCAATGAATATTTGTATTACCTACACCCATATCCATTGGGGTAGTCTTGATTGCCTGATTACAGCTGCACTTGATATTTGTTCAATCAGGAAGACTATGTATGAGATACAAATCTAAAAAATCTACTTGCACTTCTTTATGTATTAAAATCTAGAAGAAGCTAAAACTAATTTTTTTTAAAAATATGCCAAGACTCTAGGCTAAAGTAGGTCTAGATACTTTAAATTTAATTAATCTATGTCAGAGTATGTCTGTCTATCTGCTAGACTCGAGCCTAATGTTAATGGAACCATGTTTAAAAAACAACATAAAAGTAAAGTTTCCCTTTCAAACCTGACGGTCTATGGGGCAAGTGAAGTAGAGTTCACTTGTTTCTGTGTCCTCGGCATAGAAGAGAAAGTGTGGTAAGCACTATGTCCAGCCGCCTTTACTCTCCCTAATGTGAGTTAGGTACCCACCATAATGACAGTTGAACAGCCGAGTTTTTAACAGAATCATTTCAGTCTCGGTATCAGCGTGTGCATTTAATATGGTTTTTTGTTGACTAATAATGTGTATAATTTGGTTTTAATTTTACTTATAAGTACTGGTAGCCTATGTTATTTTAAATGTGTTGGATTTTTTAGCTATTTCTTTGCTCTGTCACTAATATTGTTCAACAAGTAGGAATGTACATAATGTTTTTAACCAAGAAATATTTTATAAATTATTTTTTCTAAATAAGTATAACAGTAAAAATATATAGGCCTATAATTCTAGTGAAACGGGTACCCAACGTTAGTGTAGTATAATCAACAAGCTACAGCAAACAAAAAGGCACCTGACATATAATAATCATATAAATGAAAAAAAATTATATGTATATTCTTGTACATATTATGCGGTCTTACCTAATGATAAAAGTCAAACATATTTATTGCCAAAGTGCTGCTTTAAATTTGCTAGAGCATTCAGTTAAAAAATTCTTTGAAAGTATAAGTTGATATGTTTCAGTGGATCGTTACACAATACAAGTAGGTCTACTATAAGTATTAGTATTAGCCTAACTACTAGAATTCTACATAATACAACTTTCAATGTATGAAATAATATTTAGTTAGTGTTTGATTGAACTATTACTGTTATTGTAAATAATAATTTAACAGGCAAAAAAATTAACAAATGGGTTTTTTTTTAACTAGACAGGCCTATATAGTTATATACTTTAATACTTAGGCCCTATTAGTTAGTATTTACTTTAGTATTATTTATTAGGATAATAATAGCGCATTTTAAATGAAAGGTTACATTAAAATAATCAATGAATAGACATTGTATAATAGATCTAGTATGGTTACAGAATGCTGGGTTAAAACTTCTTTGTAGTATTATATTAATATAGCCTAGATAAGAGAAGATACCTTCATTTAGCTAATAGAAGTTGGCCTAGGGCGTAGGCCTATATATTATAAATTGCAAGCTAGTAGACAAAATAAATGTATTCATGTAGGGCATTGTAGGGGACTAGATTTATTTATTATCTAACAAATAAAACCATTATATAATTAACTGTTACTTTGTTAAGCCTAATTTAATTATGGTGTGTTGGTATAAAATAAAGTAGACTTTCAAGTTTCAAACACAAGATGCACATATGTTGTTATCTGAGGTTTGCGGTACTTAAGAAGTACAATTGGTACATAATTTAAACTTTAAACACAAGGAATGTGGTTCAGCATGCCTTAGCGGTAGAGCACTACACTGCTTACCTAGGGGCCTACTGGATCCGAATTTATTTATAATAAATTATTAGTCCCCCTATAAATGAATATTATAGATAGGGTCTAAATGAATAATAAATCTAAATCAATGGCTCAATATATTTGATTATATCAATATAGGCAAGAAATTATCTTTAGACAGCAGTGTTTGCGAGCAGGATTTGCTATATAAAAAGCGGCCATCTGTAAGGTATAGTGGCTTCCCCTGAATCTTGCGCTATAAGTTTACTAAACTATAAAAAAAAAATAAACAAGATGGCTGCCATAGTAAATGAGCATGGTTGCATCTGTTGGAAACATTGCTAGTCTTCATTTATTACTGAAAAGTTTAAATTCAATTGTTTAAAAACAGGTAGGTCTACATAAAATAAATGGGACAAGGGAACATTTTTGTATTTTTTAAAAACATTTGATTTGAAGGAATTATTAAAATTTATTAATTTAAGGCATTTTAAAGGAGTCACTGTTTTTCACATTACTAGTCGCGGGTGATTTTACGTACCCAAAACGATAGATTACCATTTGGATCTAGATCTAGTAGATCTAGTTAAGTACTAGACTATCTAAATGGCATGGTAAATTACTCTAGGCGATCAGCGTAGTCACTTGGACTTGGTTTTCTCATCTAGATCTAGATTTCTAGGCCTACTTTTTAATCATGCGCAGCTAGTTGCATATATTTACATTTATTAGCCTATATCAAATTAAAAAAATACCATCTTGACTCTAGATCTAGATCTAATACTAATAGTAATAGTGGACGTAAAGAGTAAAGTGCCTACCTTATTTAAAATATTTAGACTTTCTATTACGGGTCTAGCCCGTGGTGGTGAAACGGAAGTAGACTAGATCTCTAGATCTACTGAAATTTTAATATTGTCCGCGCTGGCGAGAGAAATCCTTTTTTGAGTTTTAAAATGTCAAAAATTGATTAAAGATTTAATTTTGTTTTTATTTCCTCAAACAATTTCACAATTATAATATGTAATTTTTTGTATCAAGAAAAAAAATTATTGCACCACAACTGGTTACTATAAAATAAGGGGTCAGTGTTTCTTCCAGACTTTTTTCTCCGGGGGGGGGGGGGGCACTTGAAATTTTCAGGGAGCGGTAAACTTTCTTCGGGGGGGGGGGACACTGTTAAAAGTATATATTTTCTATATAAATTATATAAAGTTCATCTCGTTCAGGGGGGGGGGGCGGTAAAAAATTTTCGGGGGGAATTCGCCCCCCCCCCCCCCCTCGAAGAGATGCCTGGAAGAAACTCTGTAAGGGGTCATCCATAAATGACTTCACGTTTTATTTTTGACGATTTTACCTACATGCTACACCCAGCTGTATTTATAACTGAATATAGATAAAAATGTTAGTTATCTGAGCACAGTTTAAAGCAATCACCGTGGTGGTGACGGAGGGGGGGGGGGGAAGAAGACACCATTAGGTGCCGCACCGAGTGACACCCGACCTCGCTACGCCACTGAACTGATGATATTAATAAGGCACTTTATTATTATGTACTAGCCATCGGTACCTGTTTCACGTGAATTATAGGCCTATATATTTTAAATTGTTGAACTTGTTTAAGAAAAATAATTTATAAAATAGTTATTTGTCAAAACGCAATGTGCATAATTACACGCTGAACGATATTATTGACAAAGCAAAGAAAAAACTAATTAGCTAAAAATCCGACACATTTAACATAACATAGGCACACACTGATTAAGTGACTTAAATGATTCCGTTAAAAACTCGGCTATTCCACGGTATTCTTCTTGTTTTTATAGTGATTTATTTTTATTAGGTTTTTATGAATAGATCTATAGATTTAAATTAAATATTTCATTTCTTCATCGGGAACTATACCATATTAAAAGCACTCGCTGATTAAGAGACTAAAATTAAGAGACTTAAACGATTTCTTTAAAACATATCTCATAAAAAATTTTTAAATATGTATTAAAGTTTTATTTGACATAAAAACTAGCTTAGGATTATATTACACTGTTTGAAGAAATATAAACAAATTTTTTATAAGGAATTTAAAACCCTTATTTATTTATTACTTATTTATTACTCTTTTATTGTGTAAGGGGTAAAACCTTAGCTTAGCGTCGGAAACTATCGGGATGTTTGTTGAGTTTCGGTAACTAGAGTTACGGTAAACCATGGTTTATTTGACCATTGAAATATAAATAAATTGAAAGTCGATTGTAGTAAATTAATGTTTTAATTTTTTAAGTTTAATCGACAAAAGGAAACAAGAATAAATATAATAGTAGATTTAAATAAGTAGATCTAAAAATAAAAAATAAAAACATATATTAATATAAATATAAATAATGAAGTCAAATGTAATAATTTAATGTATTTGGCTTGTAGCGAATTTGCGACCATTAATTAATTAGATCTAGATCTAGATCATTTGTCCGTGATATCATTTGTCCTGGTATCTTTTGTCCTTGAGATCATTTGTCCTGAGATCATTTGTCCTGAGATCATTTGTCCGTGAGATATTTTGTCTGAGATATTTTGTCTGAGATCATTTGTCCTGAGATCATTTGTCATGGAACCGATCAGGGGTATGCCAACAGTCCCTATTGAATAGTGTCACTATCACATCAGAACACTAGCACTACCAATTTTACCCTTATAAATACCATCATAACAACAGTCTGTCTTCAATATTCTCAGGCAACCAAGAATCAGTAATATCATGTATATATATATATATATATATATATATATATATATATATATATATATATATATATATATATATATATATATATATATATATATATATATATATATATTTATATATACACTTTATCTCGTCATACTTCTAGTCATGTCAAGTGTATCATCCAACCTAAATACAGCATAAACATATAAATATCCGACATATCAATTAACATAAATACTACATCCAACACACAATCCGATTGTTCAAACTGTTCCTACACTTATAGCGCCGAATATGAAGATGACGGCATTTCAACATTTTTTTCTTTTAAATAAACCCTATTTCATGCAGTAATTCAATTCACACCATTTATGGTAATCGTACAACCAAGCATGTGGTTAATTGAACTTTTTGGATGTACCGAACTGAACCAATTCCATACGCGCATGGGCCGAAACCTTAGATATATCTTACACACCGACAACACCATTGTGGATTATTTTAGTCGGCGGTGTGCCCTTGTCAAACGCCAAGAGCCAGATTCTACAAACATCTGGGGTTCGATGGAGTCCCTGTTAACAACTACAGATCTAAATCATTGAACTAAAACTAAAGATTCTTATCTTATTCATGTCTATTAACAAACTTCCAGTTATTATATACTAGGTCAATTAGCTCTGGCCGATTCATACTCACTAAATCACATACATTATCACAAAACAAATACCATAAGGCAATATGTAGGCCTATGTATTTCTTAGTTATTAACCAGCACTAAAACATTATGAATCAAATGGTATAGGTAGTTTTATACTTAGAGTCTGGTCAAGTGGATGGTCAAACTGTGCTACAGTATGAATATATACATACATATACGCAATAATAACTAGCGCCATTACAAAAGCATCAAATAGACATCGCATATACTGACTGTTCAACTTAAAATCAACATAGTTTGAACGTGTATCTATTTACACATATACCGCCCTATAGGATTTTTAGCGCAATTTCCATTCTTGAGAATTGCGTTTATTAACCCGTCATTTCTGGATGGATGGATGGATGGATGGATGAATGTGTGTCCGCAGCTTTAAGTCGTATCTCCTCCTCAACGAAGCAATATCGATGACTAGTTCCAAAAGCAATTATGTTAAGCAAGTTACGAGGATGAACATAGGCCATAAAAATTCCGGGTTTCTTTCATGGATTTCCCAGAAAAGCCAAAAAATCTCGAAAAAAAGCAGTTTTTGGCCCATATCTCGGCAACCAGACCACTTAGCGACTTGAAACATGTACCAATCGATTCCTGTCATAATTTAGAACAATATTGCCGAAGAAAGTTTTCAAAAATATTCTCTCGTTCGGTCACAAATTTTAAAATTACATAAACACCTACAAACCGATTGTTCTTCTAGCTTGAACGCACCCCAACATTATACGTCAGAGCTATTTTTAGATAACATAAGGAAATTGCGCACAAATGTCACTAGACTTTTTTAATTAACTTGTTTTAAAAAGTTGTTACAAAGCAATTATCAATTTTATTCCATTTTACATTTGACAGTTACTTCCCTTTTCAATCATTTGAAACAAATAAGGTAAATAGGCCTAATTTTAAAAAAAATGCTTCATACATATGGATTACAAATAACGTTTGAGAAATTTGAAATAAAATAATAGGCCTACATTTATTTGATTAAAATTAATTTTTAGTACAGTTTGACATGTAATGGAATAAATAATAATCATTTAGGCCTAATTATAGATTCAAAATTAAAAACTTTAGAAAGGTTAATATTTAATTCCTTTAAGTATAAAACTTTTATCTTTACGAAGTTATGAAACACATTTGTATCATATTAGCCTTTAGCTAGTAAATTAGTTTATCTAAATAAATATAATATTCGTACCTTTACAGATTATTTTTAAAATGGCTATGTCATGAAGTTGAACAAAATACCAATATTCAAAGCTATTACTTATGTAGGCCTATGGAGAAAAAAAACTATTATTATCAACGTCAGCAGAGGGGTTGCTCCCTCTTTCACCATTCCCTCTAAGACAAGAGCCGGTGAGGAGTAATGTTACGAATAAAAAAGTTGAATAAACAAATGGCCCAAACCTTTTCACACTCAGCAACGGCAATTCTAGAACTAGAATCTAGATCTAGATCTACCTAAAGTAGGATGCCAGACCTCTATACAACTGCAACAGCCTCGCCTACAAATCAAATAACTATCTCGGCAAAAGAATTATCTGCGAGGTCATGTAATTAGGCAACTCATCTGTAAACAACAAAATCTTCAACTCAACTACGGCAAAGCCTATACCTGATGTATTAAATACATTTACTATATTTTATGAAGCGACCCACCAGCCTAGATATTGGTCAGTTTGAAGTAGTGGAACAGTGGCTTGCCAGGTTGGTTCGATGATGGATCACAGACAGAAGCACGGTAGAAAGACAGAGAAATCACGTTAAATAGGAGCTTGTAAATATGACACGTTAGTACAGCTCTCCGCACACTTTTATTCAATATCATTATAATTATAATGAATTCGTTTTCATTATTTTAATACCTAGGAAATCAATATGTTACTTGAATATGTATTTCTCTACACACACATAATGAAAAAGAATTTCACAGGGCGTAACAAAATCAACGACACTTTTAACGAAAAACTGTTCACAACACGAATTAACAATTGTTAATATCAGAAATTAGCAATATAATGAAAGCATAATTTAAATAAAAATATCCACTTAAGACGACTTATACCGAGATTATCATAAGCACTATTATTTTTATATCAAAACTTGTAAAACCGTAATACAGTTAGAAATGTTAAAATGATATATATGATACAAACGACTTTTTTTTTTTAATAAAAAGTGAAAGTATTGGAATAACATTGACTTAGGGTGACTGCCATTAGCCAGGCAGGCCTCAACACACCCACCCAGAGGCGTAGCGAGGGGGGGGGTGGGTGCGGATCGCACCGGGTGACACCATTTAAGGGGGGGGGGTGACACCAAGGCAAAAAAAAAAAACAAAATATATAGTGAAAAATGATAATTCCACTTAATTAGGTGATTAATTCGAGTGTTAACTAGTCTTTTAATAGGCACAAATCCAAAGTTTGAGTGTGTGTGTGTGGGGGGGGATGCAAATCGAAAGTTTGTTGAGGGGGGTGGGGGGTTGCAAGTCCCCGGCCGAAAGGGTCGCTACCGGGTGAGATCCGACCTCGTTACGCCACTGCACCCACCTCAGATTAACTAGCTTTGATATCGGTCGGATTACCGTGTACCCGTCGATTATGTCCTTTGGTTCTCACAGACTTCCACCCAGTGCCGGCGCAAGGTTATTTAGCGCCATAGGCAAAACTTATTAAAAGCGCCCTGCGGACTAACGTTCGATTTGCACCCCCCCCCCCCACTTATACTTTTGATTTGCACCCCCCCCCCCCCCTCAAACATTTGGTTTTCACCCCTCCCCTCAAACTTTCGATTTGCAACCCCCCCCCCCCCCCTTAAACTTTATATTTGTTTTTCCAACCCTTTTTGGCGCTCCCCTACGGCCAGCGCCCTAGGCGACTGACTAGTTCATCTTATAGGTAGCGCCGGCCCTGCTTCCAGGGTAAACTTGTACCCTATCGTCCAGTACTCGGCTCAACAATAGTAACTAATCACTAAATAAACAACGTCACTCACTTCAAATTAATGATTACTGGCAGATAGGTAGATGAATTCTACATAAAATAACATTCCCCTTCTAACGATATTCGAAAAAGTCGGCATAAGAACTAGACTAAAATAAGGTGTGCAAACTAGGTTTCTCTTGACTGCTTAGTTTACTGTGCTCCGTCCTTAGCTGATGAGTCAAAAGTTCACATTGTTAGCCACCCATGGACAGAAATAGAAACGACCGTGGGAGAAATGTCTCTGTAATACACATGCTGATCTATCATTCCAAAACTTTCCATGACATAAAATTGACCCTTGACGATGAGGGCACACTACCTTGAAATATCCGCAAAATCCGGTTGAGTGGGGGGAAGTGTGTGTGTGTGGGAGGGGGGTGGGAGGTGATGTGTGTATCTCTTTCTTCCATTCAGGTTGTGCACTTTTAAAAACCTGGGAAACAGAAGACTGTTCTAATGTTAATTTACTTGAGGGATGATCGAGTGATGTTCGGCTTGAGACTGTCGATAATATTGACATCTTACTTTTACAGGAAACTAACATTGTCACTACAGAAGAAGCAAATAAACTAGATCAGGGGTCGGCAACCTGCGGCTCGCGAGCCGCATGCGGCTCTTTTGATATCAAGATGCGGCTCTCCAGCTCCTTGAACAAATACTAATAATCTTAATACAAAAATAAAATATTTGAAATAAAAAAATGTTAGTGGCTCTAACAAAACCAGGGAAATTTTGAAAATGTAACTTTTGGCTCTTCCGATTCAAAAGGTTGCCGACCCCTGAACTAGATGCATATATCTTATAAGTTATTTTCAAAATAAATATGCCATACATTTAAGTAGTTTCCACTACTTTGTTCAAACTAGTTTTTTTTGAATTTGTACACAATAAATATTAACATGCCTATAGCTTTTATTTTAATAAAGTAAAGAATGATAATTGTAAATACCATGAAAAGTCGAATTTCAAAACGAATGCAGTTCTTAACAATTCAGTTTAATAAAAATATTAAACAAGAATAGCATTTTTTTTATTAAAACCACTTTTACGTTAATGTTAAAATGTATTTGATAAGTAACACTGTAGATTATTTACCTTTTTCACTTTGAATGTATACATGGGAAATAACTTTTGTTAGTATTATTGCATTGCTGGTTACAATGCTTACTAACGACATGAAAAGAAGCTAGAAAACCAAGACGGCTGTATAGGTTTCAGAACTTACACTTCCACATCATGTTAATTTCAGTTAGAACAGTCTGACCATGCGATTACATAACATATGTTGATGTAAATGGTGCTGGTCGCTTTGGTGTATTAGATATTTTAATAAACTTTAAAATACATACTTATTTAGTTAGAGTAATTTTGTTTTATTTCTAATTGTTTTTTTTTAATATGAGTCATGAGTCAGTGAATTAAAAAAAAATGACAAATTGACAAGACGCAAAGAGAGTTTGTTGATAGACCCGAATGAGATAGGAAGCTTTAGTTTTAGTGGAATAGTTAAGATGTACTTTAACAATTAAATGTGTTTAGGAAATTATTGCTCGTAACTATTTTGTCAGGAAATAAACGTTGTTTAACCGACATTTTTAATTGTCTAAAGATAGAACTGTTGCAGATATTATTTTTTAATTCATGTAACACATTTTTTATAGAGTATGACGGATTGTCAATGGGTGGACGCTCTAAGAATAGTGAAGGGTAGAGTGGTATTTGTTGATGGTATTTGCTATGGGATGCGTGATGGCAATGAAGTTGAGAAGGTAGTGGTACATGTCATGTTATGAGTGATGTTAAAATTAGTTGAGGGTATGTTGTGATGTATTGTTTACACACTTTATATAGAAAATATATACTTTTAACAGTGCCCCCCCCCCCCCCCCCAAAAAAAAAGTCTGGAAGAAACACTGTTCGGGATGGACAATTTAATAGGAAGTCAGCAGTATCTAGAATATTCTATATAACAACACAGCAGCCACATATACAGTAAACTGGTAGATGATAAACTCCAGTGCAAGGTAAATATAATTATAACATAGACTAGCAGGTTCATATCTAATACATTATTACTTTAGTCAACGAAAAAGTAGAAGAGCGTGGGTCTTTTTATTATCTATCGGATGCATTTACTAATAATTAGGAAGATAGCCATGCTTTTCTTTATAATTATTTACATAGTAGTGTATTATTATATACTTAAAAAAAAACAATGTTCTACTTTTCGTGCATTTTTTTGCATCAAAGCTTGTTAATAAAGCATGTTATTACTTATTTTCAGTACTTTCTTGTTTTTAATAGCAAAATGTTTAAAAATATTTCACGCTCAGTATGAAAAGTTCAAGGTCCATCATCATACTGTATTTAGCATCTTTGGAAGATACGTTATATTTTTAACAAAAACATTGAATTAGCTACTGGATAATAAGCCCCGCCCTAAAAAAAACGTATACAGGCCTCCACACGTGTTAGAATTTATATGGAGAATATATACTTTTACCAGTGTCCGCACTCCCCTCCCCAAAAATTTCAAGTGCCTTCCTCGGAAAAAAAAACTCTTGAAGAAACACTGTTACCAACAGTAGGCCTATAGGCTATTTTTTGTTAACCACAGAACACATTAAAGTTGACAAACTCGTAAGGATGGCCTAGGGACTGGAGCGGCGTCATCCCATTTACCACATTGAAAAATCACTTCTTATTTTTCCCATTTAGATATATTTATTTCATGTTACAACCTCTGATACTTGATAGTGATATTATAGAACTGCTACTAAATTTTATTTTTTGGCTTCTTTAACGTTATTTACGGCTATAAAAGTTTTAACTGTTCTGGCCATCGAAAGCCTATCTTTATTTCTGCTAGTGATGAAAGGCATGTATCGAGACTGCGTTACACTCAGTCTCAGCATTTGCTTTTCCAAAATCTTAGGTCTCCGATCTCAACACAGATCTAGATCTAGATCTAATCTAGTCTAGATCCAATTATAGGTCTAGATTCTAGAATCTCTTTTTAGTTTTACTGCGATAGTATAATCTAGATCTGATCAAATAATATCATGTTTTTATTTTTGTTAAATAAAACGGAGAATCATGAAGGCCAGAGGTGACATAGATCTAGATCTAGATTAATTAAATTTAAAGTAGCTAGGATTACTTTAGCCTAGATCTAGAGTCTTGGCCTATATTTTTAAAAATTAGTTTTAGCTTCTTCTAGATTTTAATAAGTAAAGAAGTGCAAGTAGTAAAATATATTTTTTTTTACATTTGTATCTCATACAATGATACATAGAGTCTTTTTGATTAAACAAATATCAATTGCAGCTGTAATCAGGCAATCAAGACTACCCCATTGGATATGGGTGTAGGTCATGGGTTCCCAACCTGGGGGTCGCAAAGAGCTTTCTGGGGGGGGGGGGGGTCGCCAACTGGTAGACTAAACTCCAGCAATGAATAAAAAACATAAATATTTAGAAAAATATTTGCAATTCGACATTACTAACATCACTGGAAATGGAATAGAATAGAGAATAAACAATTTGTACTGTGCAAAGTTGTTCTTAGTCAGGAGTCTATGAAAACTTCCAAACGTCAATTTGAAACGAGTCATTCGGAACACACCAAAAAAGATATGTAGTTCTTTCGTCGGCATGAAGCTAGTTGCAAACGTCAGTGGCTTGATCGAATAGAACGTTTTCACCAAGAAAACACAGCATTATTGCAAGCATCATATAAAGTAGTATTAGAAATTGCCAAGAAAAAAACCTCATAAAAAGGAGAAAATCTCATCAAACCATGTATGCTGAAGATAGTAAAATTAATTCTTGGGGATTCCAGTGCAGTAAAGATGCAACAAATATCTCTAACAATACTATGCAGCGGCTTATGTTAAAAGACAAATTTAGAATGAAATCAAGCTTTCACCATTGTTTGATTTTGACTAATCGACAGATGTGAGTTCGTGTTCGCAGTTGCTTTTCTTTGTGAAATATATTCATTCAGATGTTAGCAAATAAGAGTTGATGTTTTGTGAAGATATGGAGAAAATAAATAAGTTTTTTGAAACTGGAGGATTAAAATGGGAAAACGGCTGTGGGGCTTGTACGGATGGTGCGCGTCATGTTTCAGTACGCTGGCTGTCATTAGGAAATGTCAATCGTGTTTCTGAATTGAAAGATGAAATCAAGATGTTCTTGGAAGTGCAAGGAAACAAGACCATTTGATATACTTTAACGACATGGTGTGGTTGGAGAGAGTATCATACCTAGCAGATATATTCGAACATCAACATAAGCTTAACCTGATAAAGGAACAAATATTATCTCTTTTCATGATAATCTCTTGGCATTTTTATCAAAGCTGCAAAATTGGCGAGGAAAAATAAATATTTGAAATACTGCCATGTTTGAGAAACTCTGCAGTGTGGTGTGATAGATAAAAATTTTAAAGGATTCTGTGCATCTTGAATCTCCTGACAACGAACTGCTGCGTTATTTTCCCCGAGCTGAAAGAAGAAGAATCTGCATAGTCATCCATTCTCTGCTTTCCTTGATGTTACCAGCATTGCCGATGAATAACAAGATGAATTCTTAAATTTGCAAAATTTAATTGTTAATGCTAGTTAATGTTGTTAATAGTATCAAGAATAATTCATATGAAAGTCTACTAGAAAATATTAATTTAGTGCTTATTATTTTCTTCACTAATTTCAACTTGTTAATTATATGGGGGTCGCGGGTCACTTGCGTTTTATGAAAAGGGGTCGCCATTCGAAAAAGGTTGGGAACCTCTGGTGTAGGTAATACTAATATTCAATGCTGCAGTAATCAGACCCTCAACACATACCCATTGGATATTAGCTGTCAACATGAACATTTTTTTGAATTTAAAAATGCACTGACCTACACAAAGTGTTATTTTTTCTAGTTCATTCAGATATGCTTCTTCTATTGTTGCAATTCAACTTTTTAAAGGTTCAGAATGTAAATTTTTAAATATAAAACAAAATCAATTCATTAATTTTTTTTTTAAATTTTACTTTTACATTAGAAAAAGTTGTGCATATCCATCCATACAATTGTAGCAGGTAGCAATAACGAGTCCACCTTGGTCACTCAAAATCCATGGTTTAACAGGCTTTTATAATGCTTTCAGTGAATACCCAGACCTACAAAATAAATCAAGTAGGCCTACTTATTAACCTGCTGTGGCTAAAATTATAATATAATTATAAATATAATTCAAGCAATTAAAATTATTGATGTCTGCTGTAAGTCAAGTGGGTATGAATAATTTAAAAAACATATTTAGGCCCATTATTAAATATAGTAGTATGTAGTCTAAATATTTTGAGTAGCAAATATAAGTGCTAACATTATTTTATAGTATTAGTCTAGGATTCCAGTAAATTTAGACAACAATTGTGTGATCTTAAGTTATGCTTTAAAATTTTAAACAGTGTTCATCAAGTAAATGGTGTTTCATAGTTAATGTAGTGTGACTTGAGTTAATCAATTTGATCTATCCACTGAGTATCTAACACTTTAACAGTGTGACAGCTTACAAGTGTAGTAGTGGGCACTAGAATATAATATAAGAAATAAATATACTAACTACTAGATCGAAATAATAAAGAATGATCTTACTTTGGCCACAACTACTAGCCCTAGTCTTGCTATGACTTCATAAATAATCACAAGTCCATCTTTAAAATCAAGTCAAGTGCATTTTTGTGTATTTAAAATGATCTAGCTTACAGCTAAATCTAAATTCTAGAATCTTGGGTATTCTTGAGTCTGACTCTCTGGAGTTGTGGCTTTCACTTTTGATTGGATAGATTCCAATAGATGTTTACATTTTGGTCAGTTATTTACTATATTCATATTGTCTATCAGCTAGACAAAAAGCAAAAAAAAAGTTTCCTGGATAAATTTCTTCAAATATTGTTGTTGTTCTGCTGGTTGCAGGTTTTTAAAATAAACTTAAGACTAGAACTATAAAATACATAGAGAAGACCAGTGCTAGGCTAGGGCATCAACATTGCGGCTGATGTAAACATGTGTGTGCAACCTCTCTATTAGTATACAATTCATAGTGCAGGTCTTGATAAGTAAATTAATAGAATCTAGAGCTATATCAAATTTGAATGAAATAGTTCATTTCTTTGTATCTAAAACTGGAAGATGACACCATTAGTGTTGTGTTCTTTCCTTAGTTTAAAAAAGCTAAGCCAGTTGATTAGAGCAACAGTAATCCCATTCACAACAATTGACTTAGTTCCAATTTTTTTTATCTCTCCCCGGCTAACAGGACTTGAACTTAAGTGGGAGAGAACAAGAACTTACAAGTCCTATTGTATACAAATATTGTCACAAAACTAAAAAACATTAAGTGGAATTTAGTGCCAAGCTACCTGAAGAAAGCAAGTGTTTATTAAGCTGTTTATGACAGTTTAGAACTGTAATTAAAATTAATTTTCAAACTTTTAATACATATTTGGATAAGATTAATCACACATTACTTACATTTAAAAACTAACAAAAGCAAATCAAGTTTAGATTTTTGTTATTATTAATACCCTAGTATTCCTGTTTTTAAAATAATTTTAAGAAACTGGTAGCTTAAGATATTAATCTGCAGTCCTGATGGCTTTACATTACTGGTTGTCTATTTTAAAATTACATCTGACTAAGTAATCATTAGAATCAAACTGACAAAAGTCTGGCATGTGTTACAAATTGTGTCATGTTATTAATAAAATGTTTTGACTATTTAATCACCAGTTTAACATTTAAATTTTTTTAATCATCAGTTCATATCTAAGAAGCTGTCCAGCATGGAGGTGGAAACAGATGTGTTAGCTGCAGTTTCATCTACTGTAGATATAAAGTCAAATGAATTAACAGAGTTTTCATCTTCTGAAGATTTGAAACCATCTTCTGCTGGCATCAAAACAGAATTATTGTCATTTTTTAATTTTCAGAATATAAAACCTGACATGACATTTAAAACTTCTCAAGATGTTGAACCTAATGTTAATTCAGAATTTTCTTCTTCTAATGACATAAAACCAGATTTATCATTTTTTAATTTCCAGGATATACAACCTAACATGTCATTTAAAACTTCTCAAGATGTTAAACCTGATATTACATTTTCAATTGAAAAAATTAATAAGAAACCTGCTGCATTAGCAGAATTTTCAACATCTGAAAATTTAAAACCAGAATTATCAGCTACTGAAAATTTAAAACAAGATTTCACAACAGAATTATTAGCAGAATTTTCAACATCTGAAAATTTAAAACCAGAATTATCAGCTACTGAAAATTTAAAACAAAATTTCACAACAGAATTTTTATTTTTTGAGAATAAACAAGAAAACGGACTTGAAGAAAATCTACAATTGTCTAGGGGCAATGAAAATACAATTGTTTATTATCATCAAAAGTTTTCTCAAAGTTCTAAAAGTAATATGCATAAAAATGTTCATTCAGAAGATAAGCCATATGAGTGTGAGGTTTGTCTTAAAAGGTTTTCTCAAAATTCTAACTTAAGTAAACATAAAAATATTCATTCAGGAGATAAGCCATATGATTGTGACATTTGTCATAAAAATTTTGCAGATAAGAACGAGCTATTACGACATAAAAAAGTTCATTTAGTAGGTAACCCATATCATTGTGATGTTTGTTTGAAAAGATTTCCATATAGTTCTTATTTAAAAGAACATAAAAATTTTCATTCAGGAGATAAACCATATGAATGTGATGTTAGTCAAAAAAAGTTTTCTCGAAGTTCTCATTTAAGAACACATAAAAAGGTTCATTCAGGAAATAGGCCACATGAATCTTGTGATGTTTGTCATAAAAACTTTGTTGGAAAGAATAATCTATTACAACACAAAAATGTTCATTCAGGAGATAAGCCATATAAATGTAATGTTTGTCTTAAAAGATATCAATATAGTTCTTGTTTAAGTAAACATAAAAAGATTCATTCAGGAGAAATGGCATATGATTGTGATGTTTGTCATAAAATCTTTGCAGATAAAAATGGTCTATTGCAACATAAAAAAGTTCATTCAGGTGATAAGCCATATGAATGTGATGTTTGTCATAAAAGGTTTTCTCAAAGTTGTTATTTAAGAGAACATAAAAAAGTTCATTCAGGAGATAAACTACATGAATGTGATGTTTGTCTTAAAAGATTTCAATATAGTTCTGTTTTAAGTAAACATAAAAAGATTCATTCAGGAGATAAGCCATATGAATGTGATGTTTGTCATAAAAGGTTTTCTCAAAGTTCTCATTTAAGAGAACATAAAAAAGTTCATTCAGGAGATAAACCACATGAATGTGATGTTTGTCTTAAAAGATTTCAATATAGTTCTGTTTTAAGTAAACATAAAAAGATTCATTCAGGAGATAAGCCATATGAATGTGATGTTTGTCATAAAAGGTTTTCTCAAAGTTATCATTTAAGAGAGCATAAAAAAGTTCATTCAGGAGATAAACCACATGAATGTGATGTTTGTCATAAAAAGTTTTCTCGAAGTTCTGTTTTAAGAAGACATAAAAAGGTTCATTCAGGAGAAAGGCCTCATGAATGTGATGTTTGTCATAAAAGGTTTTCTCAAAGTTTTAATTTAAGAACACATAAAATGATTTATTCACATGAAAGGCCACATGAATCATGATGGATGTGATGTTTGTCCTATAAGATTTGCTTGGAAGACATAATTAAGACATAATTTTGTAGATTTGTGAAAAAATTCATATGAATTACTCAGAATAGTTATTTAACTAAACTTTTAAAAAAACTTTTTGGCCATAAAATTTTTTCTCAACATTCTTATTTAAGTGCACATGAAAAAGTTCATTCAGGAGACAAGCTACATGAATGTGGTATTTGTCATTAAAGATTTTCTAGAAGTTGTAGTCTAAATAATGTTTTTCACAAAAGATTTTCTCAAATATCTAATTTAAATACTTTAAAAAAATTCATTCTATATGTAAGACAGAGGAATGTGATGTTGGTAAGGAAATGTTTTCTTTTAAAGTTACTTTATATTGCCAAAGAAATTCATCATGACTTAAAACCAATTTAATGTCATTGTTTACTTTCTCGAATATACAAAGTATAGAGAAAGTCTTGTAATCGTGCAAAAAAAAATAATCGAGATTTTTACAAAGCTTGACATTTTACACCTCACTGATACGGAAAAACAATTTTGCAATCTTGTCTGCAAATTATTATTATTAAATTTCTTATAACTTGTTCTCTGCACATAACTTTAACTAGTAGTTAACGAATTGTGGGTCATAGTTAATACATTTTTATATTTGTATTATGAAAAGATTCTTTTGTCAAAGAGTAAACCTTGACAATTATTATAAATACTGTAAAAAGAAATTTATTCTATTATGTCAGCAGCATGTGTAATTTTTTCTTTATGTATCCTACTTCTTTTTGTGTTATTTGTAAATATGTATTATAGATTATGTTTTTTTTTTAATTATTTAAATGTATTTGTAACATGTTATCAATATAAACAGTATGCCAAATCTCAGACTCCTCTCTGCATGTTATGTGATTGAAAAAAGTATAAAATAATTTTCCTTACATATTCATATAGGGTATAGAATTTTATGATTAACTATACATTTCAATGTCATAAATTAACATATAATTTTTTTTTACAAAAACAGCATACAAATTATAAATTTGAAGAATAGAAAAACTAAAGCTGCAATTGTTACATTTTGGTATCTTATTCTTAGTTTCAACATAATGTAATTTTTGGCTAGTTGTTATTTAATTTTATATTCCTTACTTTAAAAAAAACCTTTTAATGTACATTCTAATGTGAATCATTAGAAATTGTAACATTAACATTTTGAGAAATAAAATGGCTAAAGTATAAGTCAATTTTTATTGTTATTGTTTTTCTAGCAACACTTTCTGTATGTAAATTCTAATAAGGCCAATGTGTTTTGAATGCTGGGGTGTATTAAAATTTTACTCTCTTGTGATGCTGCAAAGCCTGAACATACCAGGTTGGCGAAGGTCAGTGTCAGACAACATTTGCTTGTTAGGACTCAAGTTACAAAGGAAACATTTTACATTTTAAACAACACTTGTTTTACTATTTTTTTTATCAATTACAAGTAACATAAAACTTATAAAATGATTGACTTAAGGATATTCTGCATTTGAGAGTAGTTTTCTCAAAAAAATGATGGTTTTGCCATGCATTTCTATAGAAAAAGTGCACAATCCAAATTATTACTATTATAAATGCTTATAGAGTGAGTTTGAGGGAGCTAAATGTTTATGGAATTATAATTATTTTTAGAAGTATAGTGTGACCGGTAGAATCAAAGGCTTTTTGAAACCTATGAACAAATTGTCACAAAGTTGGTTTGAGTATTTCTGAGCCTGTTTTCAATTTTATTATTAAAACTGTGTGATCAGAATAAAACTTCCAAACCTAGATTGATTAGTATGGAAAAGATAATGCTTTTTAGGCAGTTGACATGTATTTGTTTATATGCATTTCTAATGGTTTGGAAAGTGGTGGTCATCCATAAATTAAGTCACTCATTTTTGTGACGATTTTTACCTCCCACTCCGTCACACATCGTCACATAAAGCCAGACCCGCCCCCCCCCCCCTAAAATGACGTCTCCTCAGCCTACACCCCCCACCCTCAAATCAGTGGCGTGCAGACCTATGTAGATGCCGACGCAAACTCAAGCGGAAGATGCCCCCATAAATACTTATATATATATATATATATATATATATATATATATATATATATATATATATATATATATAAAGCTTAGTTACAAAAAAAAAAACAAATAAGTTGTGTTGGACGTTAATATACATAGAAAAGCATTTATTTAAAAAAGTGAACTTATCTTAATTAAGATGATAACGTTGACTACAGCCAGCTAAATCCAAATGGAATGAATGGTTGGAACTTGGGAGGGGAGGGGGGGGGGGGGAAATTGGAAAGGGGGAGACAATTGCGGGACGTGTCTTGGTGGGGAGGGGGGGGGGGCTGTGATGCACTACAAAAGAGTCACATCCGGTTTTGTATTACCACCCGAGACCGCGGTGACAAAAACGTTGTCGGTGTCTGCAATTAGGGCGTCAGATACGCCTTTATTTATGGGATGTTTCTCTCTTGGCTTGTTTAGGAATTCCTATAGTGTAACTAATACAGGTGAGAGTGTGCATTAAACTAGAGATTTTTTTCTCAAAACCACTTGGTCAAAACGTCAACTCTTTAAAGAGATGGGTGATGCTAGATACTCTCAAACTATCTTTTAACCTTAAATATAACAGAAGTGTACCTTGATTGGCTAAGCTGCCAGCCCTAAAACAAAAACACTTCTACATCGGACTGTGTTTAAAAATCAACTATGCTATGTCAGACCCTCCCTACAACTTGGACGTGTCTTCCCAAATTTAACACCCAGGTAACGCCTGTGTAGTTCAGGTGGGGGATAATCCACTAACGGCTTCCATAGCCTAAAAACCCACACCGAATCCCCACATTTCATTACATCAAAATGGGCTCAATAACTCTATTGATAGCTCTACTATTAACTGAAATAAAACTGGCTCTGTATGTGCCCCCAATTGCTTTAAAGAAAGCTCTACTTAGAGTTAAAATACTTTAACACTACTTAAAGCATGCTTCCCCTATTTGTAAAAATCAATATGGGCGCAATTATTCTGAATGATATTATTACAATGTGTCGAAAACAATATGTTGATTCGTATTCTTGACATTGTCGCTACAGTCTATCAAAAACAATATGGGCATTCTTATTCTTAAGGATGCTTATATAATGCATGAAAATAAATATATATTAAAGGCTGCCAGTGGCGTAGCTACCGTAAACCTAGAGTAAGCAAGGCATAGGGGCTTTTTTTTCTACTGTAGAAATAATTTAATTTCAAAAAGGTCCCAGTCCTTTCTTAGTGTACAGGCAGTGGCATTCAGTGTGGGGGAGGGCGGGCGACTAACATTATTAACATTGTTAATTTTTGCATAGTGGGGTCGAAAATCCTGGTTATGCCACTGAAGGCTGCCCATACCAAAGATGCCCCAAAAAATTATAATAATAATATGGGCATAATTAACCTTTGGATGCCTTTAAATGGATCATAATGAAGAAGTACATAAAAAAAGCTTTTGAGATGCCCCCAATGTTAACAACGATGATTGGTGTAATTACTGTTTCATGCCTTTCGAGTGTATTACATGAATATAAGCATAATTACTTTCAAGATGCCCCTACAATATATTAATTGAAGATGAGCATACTTACTATATGGATGCCTTTAAAATGTATTATAAAGTGAAGTGGACATATTACTAAATGCTCATAAAATATATTATATTGAATATACGAATAATTACTTTAAAGATGCCCCTACAGTGTATAAAAATAAATATGATTTAATTACTCGACGGATGTCCTTGAAAATGAGTATAACGAATACGCGAATATTACTTTAAAGATGCCCCGAAAGTGCATGGGAATAACTTGGTCACAAGTACTCTAAACGATGCCCCTACACTATAGTAAATAAATATCACAAACATTTATTAAGGGAATATCAATGACTACCATAAGACTACCCTTCACTGACGCCCGCTTTTTCTAAATAAGTTTTGCTATACGGACAGTGTAATGTTAAAATGAGTGACAGACGATTGAGTGTTACGATTTTTTGAGTGAGATCGCAAAACATATGGAAAGTTACGATGACACCATGACACGACATATCGCAACAATTTTTAAATTACTAAAAAAATATTAAAAAAAAAAAAAAATTCCACCTCCGCTGGATGCCCCCCCCCCTCTCTGCACGCCACTGCCTCAAATTAGCAGATGCATTATTTTTTAAAACATCGTTTTTTTTTCCAAAATCTTGCCTGAAATTTGTCAACATAGGCGATTTTAATTAATTCCTTTAGAAATGTTTTCTAAAACGCAAATTATCGGCTAAAATTCGTTTTCTAACATTGCTTTTTTAATAATGCAAAAGTGTGACTTCACACTATCTGACATTCCCCCCTCCCCATCATCACATTCCGTCAAAAATTACGGACCACCCTCCTCCTTACGAGTGTGACGTCATTTATAGACGACCCTTTGGCCTGTAGCTGAATGGATCCTGGATGTTACTTGTTTGTGTAGTTGTATAACATAAGTGTACTTAAAACCAGTGTTTCTTCCAGACATTTTTCTCTGGGGTTGCACTTGAAATTTTTGGAAGGGGGGGGGGGGCGGTAGACTTTTTTCGGGGGGGGGGGGGGGTATTCGGCGGACACTGTTAAAAGTATATATTTTCTAAATAAATTGAATTTCGTTCGGGGGATGGGGGTTAAGACAAAATTTTTGTTTGCAACCAAATCGCACCCCACCAGGGCGCCGGCGGACACGCTTGATTCAATTTAGTGAGCGTTTGTAACGCCACATCCTAACCATTGTCTATCACGCTGTTTAGACTCAACGTAGTTGCCATAGCACCACGGGAAAGACCAGGGCGTCAAATGGCATCCTGCCGAGGGGGCCTCCAATGCAAAATTAAATCCTACCTACCACCACCACCCACCCACCCCATCCTTCTCCCACCCCAGAAACCTTATCGCAAGTATTCATCAACTCTCTAAAGTTTTATGGCACCCGGATAAACTGCGTCGAACCGCAATCGTCTTGTATTTGTATATGCCGTACATAGAGAAAAATCGCATCCTCCCGTGGCGCCGCCCTTGCGAAATTAAATATGATTTATTTTTTACAGAACCCTTTCCCAGAGTGTTCTAATGAACTCCCCAAAGTTTGATGGCAATCGGGTGAACGCCGTGAAACCGCAATCGACATTTTTTTTATATACCGTATATTAAGAAAATCGCACCCTACTGTGGCGCCGCCCTTGCGAAAATAAAAATGACTTTTTTTACATAACCCTTCCCTGGAGTGTTCTAATCAAGTCCGTGGAGTTTGATGGCTATCGGATAAACGTTGTGAGACCGCAATCGACTTTTATTTTTTATACCATATATAGAGAGAAAACAAATCGCGCCCTGCCGGGGCGCCACCCCTGCGAATTTGAAATTTTTTTTTTAGCGCAAAAAACCTCCCCAGAAATATTATCAACATCTTCCCAAAGTTTCATGGCGATCGTGTGAACGGTGTCACCGTAATTCTCTTTTTACTATTTTTATATACCGTATATCGAGAAAAATCGCACCCTCCCGTGGCGCCACCCTTGCGAAATTAAAAATGATATTTTACAGAACCCTTCATGAGAGTGTTCTAATGAACTCACCAAAGTTTGATGGTGATCGGATGAATGGTGTGAAACCAAAATCGACTTTTATTTTTATATACCGTATATAGAGAAAAAATAAATTGCGCCCTGCCGGGGCGCCACCCCTGCGAATTTGAAATGTTTTTTACGCAGAAACCTCCCCAGGAATATTCACAACAACTTCCTAAAGTTGCACGGCTATGTGATGAGAGGTGTAGTAATGCATAAAAGACAGACAGACACACACACACACACACACACATACATTGCTTTTTTTATATATAGATTAACAACTTTAAAGAATCCAACAGTTAAATAAAAATTTAAAAAAGAGAATTACGCCGATATTTCAGATTAGACAGAATTAACTATTTAATTGACAATTTAAAACTAAATTAATGTACATTTTAAAAATAGAAAATTAAAAAGAGTTTGTGTAATGATTAACTTTTTAGAAACAAAGAGCAGAATTCGGTTAAGATAGTGTGAAAACTGCTAATTGTGACATCACCTGTACTGATGGACAAAGCACGGTACAAAACATTAAGACCTTACTTATGCAAAAT